TGCTGGTTCTGCTGGTTGGGAAGGTGGTGAATCATATCCTTTACTATGAAATAGGATCATGAGTTCTAAAACAACTTTTTAGCTTTCCCTTGCTTCTGATTCCCCCACAGCTGTTCTCATTTATATGGAGAGGATTGACTGAGAGTTGCCCTTTTCCCCACAGGACATGCTTAGAACAACCACTCTCTCTTTAGGATTGCAGTCTTTCTATGGCCTTTATCCTCTGGGTCTTGTTCTGTCTTCCCCCCTTTCTCTGGACTCTACCATTTGTTTCAATATATCCCTCTTCTTCCCCTAAGAGAACTATTTCTATTAACAAATAATAAAAAGAAACCAGTTCAACAAATCTCACCAACACATCTCTCACCAGTCACATTCAAGAGTCCCCTACCTTTGTAAAAAAAAGAAAGGAGGTGCACTTTTTTTAATTTTAAAGGACTTGTATTTATTTATTTATTTTTTGGTCAGGCAATGGGGTTAAGTGACTTGCCCAGGGTCACACAGCTGGTAAGTGTTATGTGTCTGAGGCCAGATTTGAACTTAGGTCCTCCTGAATCCAGGGCTGGTGCTCTATCCACTGCGCCACCTAGCTGCCCCTGACTGCACTTTTATACTTGCTTTTTGGGGCCAAGCTTGTTCATTGCAATTTCTCAGCATTTTGGTTATTTTGTTGTTTTTTCCATTTATATTGGCTTTAGTTATTGTGTGTATTGTTTTCTTGCTGCTTCTTACTTTGTATCAGTTCATATTTTTTCCCCATCCTTCTCTATAATATTCCATTATATTCATGTATCAGAGATTTTTAAAGGCTGTTCCCCAATGGGCATCTAGTATATGGACATCTACTTTCTGTGGCACTTGTTATTATACTTTAACATAGCACACACTGAAGAAACCAGAAGATAAGAAACAGCTGGGAGATTTCTTTGGCATGTCCAACAGTTATGCAGAGTGTTATCCAGCCACGTAAGTGAGACTTCATTCTGGGAAATGGGATATGAGTCTCTGGGAAGTGGGATATGGGGAAGGGTAGTTGGAAAATTGAAACTGGAAACAAGAGAATTAGGCAGTTTTCTGTGATTCTGAAATATCTGTCACTCATAAGGAGATGTCAGGATCACCTTATGCCAATTGAGTCAGCTGGGAGGAGTAGGGAAAGTAAGGTGTTTGACAGGGCAAAGGGACTAGTTAGGTTCCTAGACAGTCTTGGTTCATTAGAGCATTTGACTTTTCTTTGCCTCTTTTTAGGATGGATGATATGGCTGTGGACAGTGATGAAGAGGTGGATTATAGCAAAATGGACCAGGTATGTCTCTGTAAGGTTTACATTAAGAACGGATTATATCGTGGCTGTAGTCTGTAGGGCTGTCTTTCTCTGTAGAAGAAAGAACAGGCAGCTACCTCACTGAAAGTGTATGTTTTCCACTAGCACTAGCATTCCAGTGATTCATTGAGAAAATTAACAGTGGCCTGGATGGTGGAATTAGTGGCTTAACTGAATATTTAGTTTTCTACAGAAAGACAAACGAGCCAAAAACATTTTCACTTTGAGGCTTAGGTTAAAATTTTATAAAAGAATTTTCTTTGAACTTAGGCTTAAGGTGGTGGTGGTTGGGAGGGAGGGAAGGTGGGGACACAATTGCTATAAAGCATCATTTTAGCCAAATTTCAAGGTTGTCTCTTCTATATATGTAAACACAGTTATTAATGGAATAGCAAATAGGATTGCTTTAACCTTCTTTTCTTTCTCCTTTACTCGAAGTGGCAGAGATGATTTGGATATCTAATTATCTGGAATAACTGCTTATTTTTCTCAGTAGCCCCTTTATCTCCAAAGAAGTGTAGAACCAGAGAACAACCCTAGTTAGTTGGATTTTCTAGGCACTGTCCTGAAAAAGTGTTGAATGTGGCCTACAAGCCCTGTACTGCAAACTAGAAAGGTTCCTGCTGACCACCATTTTCTTTCTTGCCACAGGGTAACAAGAAGGGACCGTTGGGTCGATGGGACTTTGACACCCAGGAAGAGTACAGCGAGTATATGAATAACAAAGAGGCTTTGCCCAAGTAAGTCTGGCACTGAAACTAACCGGGGTTCTGGGACTAGGGAAGGGGGGATGGAAGAGGGCACAGTCTGGTAAGGCTGTTCCCACCTAGGGCCCTTTCTTTGAATCTTGTTCCATGCAACCTCACTATATCGTTACCCTGACTTTCTTCATCTACCTATAGAGCTGCATTCCAGTATGGCATCAAGATGTCAGAAGGTCGGAAAACCAGACGCTTCAAAGAAACAAATGACAAGGCAGAGCTTGATCGACAGTGGAAAAAGATCAGTGCAGTGAGTTTAGGGAGGTGGGAAGCTATAGATGGGAACAGAGATCCAGATCCTCCCATCCCTTAGACTTGGGGTAAATAGCTTGGAAAGAAACTCCAGAATTATCCCATGTAGATGGGAGGGGCTTGAGATGGTTCACACTGTTTCTTAGTGCTTCCATGGGCCCTTGTCTTCCCTCTCTTACTGGATAAGGCTTGGATGTGTAGCATAATTATCTCTATTCTTTTTTGCAGATTATTGAGAAAAGAAAGAAAATGGAGGCTGATGGGTAAGAGACTTTTTTTCATTTGGTTGGGGATCATTGAAACAAGTGTGTTGATTATTTTTTTTTTTAATTTCTTAGTGTGTTGATTCTTGATGCTATTTCTTTTTTGCATTGTAGGGTTGAGGTCAAAAGACCAAAATATTAGTCCAGCACTCGGAATCCTGGAAGATTACTTGTCTGGATATTTCTCAACTTTTTTTCTCTCCCTTTGCACTTTCTTTAGAGAGGCTGCAGTGTTCGTGTGTGTATGAAATTGCATTGTTTCAACTATTAAAATCCATGTTAACCCTTTTTTTTTTCTTTTCTGCTGAAGAGATTGTATGAAGGGAAAGATGGGGGATGAGGTCAACTCCAATTCCTCAGTTGTTTGGAAACACTAGTTGGGCCAATTTCACCATTTTGTTCTTGGCTTCACAAGCTCTAACACATATTTGGGTACAATCAATTTTACATGTGGGAACTCATTTTAATTATGTACTTTATTTTATTTTTATTTTTTGGCAATTAGGGTTAAGTGACTTGCCCAGGGTCACACAGCTAGTACGTGTCAAGTGTTTGGTCTATGGTCACATTTGAACTCAGGTCCTCCTGACTTCAGGGCTGGTGGTCTATCCACTGAGCCACCTAGCTGCCCCTAATTATGTACTTTACAAGCTGAGATTACACTATTATAGCTAGTAACCCAGCATTGATAGCAAGTGCTAAATATTTCTCTTTTTCCAATGTGTATTCAAGCTGAAAGTGACACTACCTAAGAGGTTCTGGCCAGTGTAGTTTCAACATAGAAAGGAGGGAGGGAAGGAGTATTAAGCTCCTATGTTCCTTTTTAAAAAAGCTGTTTTTTCACATAAGTCTTTACCAAGGAAAGGTATACCAGATTTATATCAGTATACTAGAGTAACTCTTGTAACAAAGAAGATAGCTTTTACTTTTATCAGATCAAGTATCAGATCAAGGGGCAGTAACTCCAGGAAAAGTGATTGGCCTTTGATTATCAGCAATTTGACCCTAGGGTTGTAAAATCTGGCTTTAGGTATGAGTAAAAAAAAATTTGGGTTATAAAAACAAGTAAACCAATCTTACAGTCCATTGTACTAATTACCAAGTAATGTTCCTCAAAGGTATACTATCTTATCATCCATTCTTGCCCAGTGGAATGGCCTGTTTAGGGAAGAAGGCCAGTGGTGGTTTGACCCTTTCTTATACTGGGCTGTGTTTATGGGGAATAGGAATGTCATGCCTCTAAGTCAAAGCTGCACATGAAATCTACTTGCCTCATAGCTGCAAGAGTTTCAGCAAAGCTGGCCTCTGAATTGCCGCCTTCACCCTCTTGCTAGCTCCTTCCTCTTTCTTATTGCCCACTGCTAGTTTTGGATAGCTGAAATATGAGCTTCTGAACTGGTGGGAATCAGATGGCAGCCTGACATAAGAACATCCACTCCCTGGTGGATCACTGGGCTGATGGCCCACTGGGTTCCTACTAAATGCCAGGCTACTGTCATCCATTAGGATCTGCTAACCTAGCTCTTGCTGGCTTGCTAGATCCTAATTCAACTTTAAACTTGGGTTCCTTGCAAAAGTTAATGTTTAGGAAGCTGTGGTGGTGGTGTTGATGGAAATTCTAGGCAGATGTTGCAATCTGCAGGTAATCCAAAAGGTTGAACTTTAGACCTATGGTAACGCCCAATAAGTGGGTTCTAAGCAGCTGGCATAATTAGTTAAGGATAAATGAACATGGCTCAGATTGCTAGCACGTAGGAGTAGTGATCCGCTATTAAGTAGGATATTAGCCAAGGACCTTGTCCAACTAGTGAAGCTGGTAGTTAAACACTAAAACAGTAGATGCTTTTTTTGGAGCAAACCAGCAATGGGGATGATAGCTGAATGCTGTTTTGTCAGACAGAAACAGCCACTCTTGGCTTTGGTGTCATCTCTAACTGGGTTTCAAAAAGGGCTGTTATTCAGTAATATGTGCCCGGGTTCCCTGCTGTCCTGCTGTCCCCAGTGCAAGGCTCCAACTAGCGCGTGGCTGTACCTGCAGCAGTCTATGTAGCTATTAGAGCCCTGGAAATCTGGAAAGGCCGTTAGCGTTAACCACCGTCGCCTTCTACCTCCTGTCGTCTGATGCCTGAGTAGCCAGCTAGGACTGGCTTCTGCCCCTTCCTCGGTTCGGTGCTTGGGCATGGCATCGGTGACTCCCCGCAGCAGGCATGCAAACCTTTTTGCCCTGTCTAGACCCTATTCCCTGGGCTTAAGGGGCCGAGCGGGCGAGGCCGACAAGAGCTTTTCACGTGCATAACGTAGCAGGCCCAAAGCCTCGGGATCAGCCCTGGCGATCACTCCACGGAAAGCTACTTAAGTTCCGGCGGGGCCTGCTTGGCAACAGAGCATGCTCAGAGCGTGCTTCCGGTTCCTCACCACCACCAAGCCTTTCCCTCTCGGTGGTCGCCGGGAGGATTCCAACACTTTTCAGTGCCTTGACGGAAGTTGCTATCAGCATGGCGGCCTCCTACGAGGTGAGGCATGGGGCAGGGGAGTGGGATACCCACGAGCAGGCGGCAGAAGGTGAGTCCTGGCGCCCTTCTACCGCCCTTCTCTCGGATGCTCCCTTGCAGACCGACACCGACACCGAGGCAGGGACGGAAGCCTCGGAGCCCCGGGAGCGGGACGCCCCGGAAGACATAGTGTTGGAGGCTCCGGCCAACGGGCTCGCCTTCCACCCGGCGCGGAACCTCCTGGCCGCCGGGGACGTGGACGGGGACGTGTTCGTGTGAGCGCGGGGAGGGCCAGGGCGGGGTCCTGGAGAGAGCTCCCTTGTCCCGCTCATAGGCGAGCAGCGTTGGAAGGGACCGGAGCGTCTCTTTGACGGAAGAAGAAACTGAGGCCAGAGAGCGGAGGTGGCTTACCCAGCAGTACATGACTGCCCCTTCCCCTTTTCCTTACAACAGCTTCGAGTACTCCTGCCGGGAAGGTGAAACCAAGGAGCTCTGGTCCTCGGGACACCATCTCAAGGCCTGCCGGGACCTGGCCTTCTCCGAAGACGGACAGAGTAAGTCTAGGGAGAGAAGGGGCAGGTCCGCGGGCCACTTGTGGAGCCACTGAGCACCCAACCACGGGAGCCTCCTTGGGGTGAGCTGGGACCTGGTGGAAGGGATTTGTGTTGAAATATCTGTAACACTAGATCTCCGAGGGTCTCTTCCAGCGCTGAGTCCACGGTTTTTATTGGGATGGGAATGGAATAGCCCAGGCCTGGGAGTCAGGACATTAGAAGCTCAGCAGGACCACTGTTTGGTCCTTGGACTCTCCTCCATTTGTTAAGTGAGAAGAGGATTGGAATAGACTTTAAGACCACTGCTTCCAATTTTTAATTTGTATCCCTGTTTGTCTCCACTAGAACTTATCACTGTTTCCAAGGATAAAGCTATTCATATCCTGGATGTGGAGCGGGGTCGGCTAGATAAGCGTATTTCCAAGGCTCACAGGTATGACAGCAATTGAGGAAATAAATTGGGGGTATTGGGAAAAGTTGGGATCTTCCCTTGGGGTATGCAAGACAAGGCTTCTTTTTGAACTTTTCATCACTAATTTTTTTTTCATGTTTTACTTTTTAAAAAAATTTTATTTTTATATTAATTTATTTTGATTTATCAATAATCATTTCCATATGTTTTTGAGTTTAAAATTTTTCTCTACCTTTTTCCCCACCATCCTCCCCAAGACAGCACACAATCTGATATAGGCTATACATTTACCTTCATATTAATATCATCACTAATTTTTTTTTAACTTCCTCTCAACTCATAATCCTATTTCACAGTGTAGCTATCAACAGCTTGTTGCTAGTAGATGAGCATCTGTTAGCTACAGGGGATGATAATGGCGGGATTCGGCTCTGGGACCAGAGGAAAGAGAGTCCAATCATGGACTTGAGGCACCATGAGGAATACATTGCAGATATGGCTCTGGACCCTGCTAAGAAGCTGCTTCTTACTGCCAGGTAAAGAGCCTTTGAAGCTTCTCCCCTCCCCCCAAGTTAAACTGCTTCTGTAAGGGTTGGGGGGGGGGGCGGCAATCAACATTGCTTGTTTTTTCCACAGTGGGGATGGTTGCCTTGGTGTCTTCAATATCAAGCGGCATCGATTTGAACTTCTATCAGAAGCACAGAATGGGGATTTGACCTCTGTTACTCTCATGAAGGTACAATGGAGATTGAGGGGGACCAAAAGGAAGGAATCCTCACATCTAGGATTGGTTTGCTACTCTCTAGAAATAACTCCTTAATTTTCTTTTCAGAGGGGAAAGAAAGTTGCCTGTGGCTCTAGTGAGGGGACCATTTACCTCTTTAACTGGAATGGTTTTGGAGCAACCAGTGACCGTTTTGCCCTGAAGGCAGAGTCAGTTGACTGTATTGTGCCCATCACAGACAATCTGCTATGCACAGGCTCTACTGATGGGATTATACGGTAATGAGATGGGGGGAAAGCTGGTAGAGAAAGGATTGGGCACTTGGTATGTCAGGCTCCTCAGGGACTAATTCCATGTTTTCTCCATAGGGCAGTGAATATCCTGCCAAACCGGGTTGTAGGAAGTGTGGGGCAACATGCTGGTGAACCTGTGGAACAGTTAGCCCTCTCCCACTGTGGTCAACTTCTTGCCAGCAGTGGCCATGACCATCGGCTTAAGTTCTGGAATATGACACAACTTCATTCAGTGGTAGTGGATGATTATCGGAAGCGAAAGAAGAAAGGTGGCCAATTGCAGGCTCTGAGCAGCAAGGCCTGGGGCATGGATGATTTCTTTGCTGGACTTAAGGAGGAGGAAGCCACAGTGCCTGCTTCTGTTGACAACGATGAAGAAGAAGAAAGTGAGGACAGTGACTGAGAGGAAGGTAGTGGGCAATCATCCAGACCTATTGCAGCTGAGGAAATCAGGCCCTATTCTCTTTTATGTCAGTTATTAAAGCCTATTTAAGGACTTTCTACAGAGGCTGCTTCAAGCATAATTGAAACAGCCCATTCTGGTTCTGAGACAGAATAGAGGAGGCATGTTAAAACCACTAGGCTTGGTAGTTAACCTGAATTTTTTTTTTTTTTTTAGAGTGAAGACAGGATGACAAAACCCAGTGTGTCTAGGTCTGTGCTCTTGGGTTGCTGTTTTGTCAAGATTGTAGTCTTCCACTTAAAAAGCTGAAAACTGAACAACCACTTGTCTCCAGCTGGCCCCTAATCAAAATGAGAAGAACCCTTGTAGAGGATACAACATGGACACATATACCAACCTTAGGTTTTTAATTAAATAGAAGAAAAACAGATTTAAACATACCCCAACATAGAATACCAACAGAAAGAGCAATAATGGGCAGAAGGGCCAAAAAGTTGACTTTAGGTCTAACTAGCCACCAAGTGAACAGTTTGAGGGACAAAACCATAAACATATAGGATTAGGTAGGTGGAAGGGATGTGCCTGGCATAAAAGGAATGGAACAGGGGAACAGAGGAGGTTTTCCCTCCCTATCAGCCAAGGCTAGTGTTCCCACTCATCCAGCCTCAGGGCCCTGCCCTTCTGGAAGGACGGAAGGACTCTTTACTCTAAACCTCCACAGCTAACTGGTGACCAACTGACCAGGATGGCTATGACATTTTTAGCAGGAAAACCATCCCCATCCTGGGCTCTCATTTTTCCTTGGCTCACCTAATGCTTCCAGGAGGCGAAGGGACACGGCATTCTTGGCAACTTCATGTCCACTTGGCCCCTCCTTTGTTACAACTACCCAGATGAGGCCACTGAAAGGCATGGGGTGACCAGGAATCACCACCTGGTACCAGAATCGGTGCCAGCCTGCAGGCCCAGCTCCCAAGCACTTAGTGAGGAATACAGGCATGCCTAGGCGTTTCTGTTGGCACAGTGTCTCAAGAGTAGTCTGGGCACAGCTAGGGGGTATTGGGGACCCCAGTATCTCAGGTAGGAGCCTGTGACTGCTCTCAGTCTCCAAGCCCCGAAATAAAGGACCTTCAGTGTGCTGTCGGAGTCGTTGCTTCAGGTCGGGCTTCAGCCATTCCACTGTCACCTGCTCACCACAGAGCTTTGAGCGCCCTGCCGGACAGAGGACACATAGGAATGATGATGGGTGGGGGGAAAGAAGACAACCTAGGCTGGGCAACAAGTATTTGGATGTACCCCACCCCCTCGAACAAACACTAAAACCTTGACTTGAGCTCTCCCACTCCCTCAAATGTACTAGCTTTCTTAGTAGGAGACAAGATTACCCAATTTTCCTCGACTCTGCCCTTGCTCAGGCATTACTCCTACCTTCTATTAGAGCCTTCTTAGCCATGGCCGCAGCCCGGTGGGAGCTAAACTTGAGCAGCGCAATCTGTGTGTGGGGGTGCATAAGGCTGGGGAGCAGCAGTGCTTCCTGCAGACCGGAGCCTAGAGGCTGCAGGGCCTTAAGCAAGGCCTGGTGGCTCAGGGCTGGTGGCAGCCCATCCAGGGTCAGCTCGCATTTCTCGGTGCTCCGGCAGACCAGCAGCGGGCAGGCAGGCCGAAGAGGGTGGTTGTGCAGAGTTGCAATGGCAGCCTGGGCCCCGCGGCGGGAGCTGTATCGAGCGTAGGCGAAGCCTCGGTTCAGGCCACTAAATGTCATCATGAGGCGAAACTCGTAGAGACGCCCCACTCGTTGGAACAGTGGAATCAGCTGGTGCTCATACACATCCTGAGGCAGGCGGCCGATGAACACCTCTGAACCTGCTGGTGGAGGGCTGCCCACCCAGCCTGGGGATAGAGTAGTCTTTGAACTGCTGACCTGGTTTGGCAAACTAACCCCAACTGGGGAGCCTTTGAAAACCGGCTTCACCACTAACTATAAACTCAGTTTGGACTTTACACTGGTCTGTAAAATTAATAAGTTCACACTAATTTATAAAGTCTATTTTAATTTATCAGTTACTTATTATCTATTAGTATTCCATTATTCTAAAATGCAAATAAAAACCAGTTTCTGGGTGCAGTTAGAGTATAGCTTGCATTTCATAGAGCTTAACCGTGTAGAATAACTGATCATTTTTCTTTTCCTCTTTGGGTGCAAATCAGGGGCAGTTAAAGGGCAATTAACCCACACTCAGCTGAAGAAGTTCGGTTTACAGGCCACTCCTCCGAGGCTGGGGAGGGGGGAAAGGTGTCAGGCGCCTAACAGTCCGGGGCAGCAGGAAAGTCAAGCTACCCACCCCTTGGAGTTGGGGGTGCAAATTTTACCTGGGGGTGGGCCGCCGTATTTCCTTTGCCCGTTCACTTGCACCAGTCGGATCCCCGTTTCCCTCACCCAAGCCTCCAGCGCAGCCTTGTTCACTGGATTGACCCGCTCACACCACAACTGGGGAGGGTGGGAGAAGGGGTGAGTATAGGCACTAGGCCCCAGACCACCTTGCAAGGAAACGCCGATCGGGCGGGCCAGATTCCCATCCCCCAAATTATCTCACCGTGAGGATCCCCCATCTAGACCACTCACCTCACATTCCCGTTTGGACTGCATGTTTAAAGAGGACCCACCCAGGCCCACACCTTTATAGCCTCCCCCTACGCCTCTGGAAACTTCCCAGCCCCCCCTAGACTCCCATTGGCTATGGGGCGCGACCCCGCCCCGCATGGGAGGGGAAGAGGGGGACACGTGCTTTACCCTCCGGGGTATAAACAGGTGGGAACAGGAAAACAAGGGCGGGGGGAGGGGGGGCTGGGAGCCCTACTCATTTTCCTTTTCCTCCCTTTTTTACTAAGTGGTTTAGTTCCCTAGTGTGTATGAGGAATAAAATTATATGAAAGCCCATTTTCAGTAACACTTTCCAGAAGCAGGTCACCAGGGTATTGCTTCCAAACTGGGGTGCCATCAAAATATAAGAGGGAGCCCTCAGACAATCCTTCCCTGATCCATAAAGGAGCCCAAGAGGGTGACTAGCACAAATGGAGAAGCTTTAGGCATTTTATTGGACCCACAGGCAATCAGCTTCACAAAAGGCAGTGGGAAATGTCAGCATCATGACTTTTCTGCCATAAACACAGGGATACAACTCTATATACATAATGCATGGGGCGACACCCAGGGCCAACATAACCAGAGAAGCTTCAGTCCGTAACAGTGTCCTGGGCAGCTCCAGAAAACCTCTTTGAGAAAGTGGCTCCGGCTACCCTTGCCGGTGATTTTACAATAAAATATTATCTCAGTTTGGCCCTCCCTCTAATTCTTCCAGATGAAGCAGAATGTGCACAGCAGCTGAAGAAGATGGATTAGCCTCCAAGTAGTGCAATTTATATCCACTGACTTCCTTCAGTTCAGAAGATGGAACGGATGTTGGCTTGTTTGTCTCCTGATTTCTTCCACAAGGTTTTCTTTCCGAACGTCCACCTGGCCAAAACAAGGAAGATAGCATGAGAAGTGTCTGTTCTCCCCTTTGCCCCTACAACCTTCTATCTCCCTTTCTGCCTTCAGATTTCCTTATCTAATTATTATAATAGCTAGCATTTATATAGTACCTATTTATATAGCCAGGCACTGTGCTAAGCACTTTTTACAAATATTATTTCATTTGATTCTCATGACAACCCATTTTACAAGTGAAGAAACTGACAGTTTAAGTGACTTGCCCAAGATCACACAGCTAGAATTTGAAGTCAATTTGAACTCAGGTCTTCCTGACTCCAGGCCCAGCTCTTTATCCTCTACACCACCTGGCTGCTTTAACTATAAGTCATGGTTCACATGTAATCACAGACTAAGTCTGAGGAAGTTTTGGCTGGTATCCTAAAAGGTACAGGGCTACATTGGGGAATGAAGCTGACTACCAAGGTTAGAGATAAGTTATGATATGATTTCAGGGCCATGAGGAAAGACTCAAATCCTACCAAAATATCTTCCCCACCTGCTTGCTAACGTTTCAAATTCCCTTAACTAGGAACCAAAGCCTTGGATTCTGCATTTAGAGATAAAACTTACAATCCAAATACTGTGGAGAGAAAAAGAGATTCACAGGGCTCTGAACCTCCATAGTTCTAAAAACCAGAATTACTTTTGAACTGCTGCCTTTATCTTGCAGCCTCCTGAGAGGCAGGCCTGCATGCTTTACCTTGGTCATCACTTATTTCAACACCTATTATGCACAATAACATATTTTCATATATAAGACAGTATGGAGGTAGTCTCAGAGCAAGGGAGAGGAGGTCAGATCCCTGTTGGCACACCCCAGCTGTGTGACCCAGTATAAGTCACTCATCCCTTCAGTGCTCTAGGCCAGGGTGTCAAACTCAAATAGGAAGGCCACATATTGACTTAGAAAACCTCAAATTAACATTATCTGTGTGGTATTGTATTTATTTACTTTGTGAAACATTTCCCAATTACATTTTAGTTGGGTTGGACAGCATTCCTCTGCTCTAGGCAACTCTGGGATATCTGGGAATTGTATAAATAACCCTCAGGGGTAGAGAGCTTCCACATCCGGGAGTTTTCTATCCCAAAGAAATCAAAGGTCCAGGTCCCATCCCCTAATCACCTAGGCATAAGACACTGCTAGGTTCTGAGGAAAACAGATAAAAAAAATGCAAGGGTCTGTCATTTCAGTTTAACCAACTATAATTTCTAGTCTTAGAAAATTGTCTTAAATTCACAAGGATTAAGTTGACTTGTTCACAGTTCATAAGGCTAGTAAATGACAGAGACAGAACTCAAAAGAACCCAAGTCTTTCAAACATCAGGTTGGACACTTCTGTCAACTTCACAGAGCTGTCTCTGATAGGTAAACAAATGAGCCTAATTTAAGGAAGAATTCGAGGAATCAAAGGAGAGCCCTAGGCAAAATACTCTAGGGAAATCGAAGTGAACAGTTCCAGACCAAGAGAGAAGTGGCAAGGAGAGCCAAGAATGGAGGCATTTGGGGTGGGGAGGGGGGGGAGAGAGGCCGGGGAGAGAGGCCAGGAAGGGAGGCAGCCAGTCCGAAAGCCCAGAAGATAAGACTCAGCCCATACAGCTGTCAGGGCAGGGTATAATTTGTGAAGGTGTTCATGGTGATTTCAGCCTCAAGAGGCCAAAAAGGGAAACCAGACTTGCTTCAATTTAAAATTCTGCCCTCTGGGTCCTTCTATTTCAGCTCCCTCTGGGCAAACTCACCTCTTCTCTGCTGGCCACAGAGCGAAGCTTGACAACCCCATCCTTCAGCTCTTGCTCCCCAATGATGGCCACCAGTGGAATGCCAGTCTCCTCACAGTACTGCAACTGGGTGAGCAGTTTGGGGTTCCTCTTGTACAGTATCTCAGCCTGAAGAGACCAGGGCAGAGGAGGGGCTGAGACAGAGCCTTGCCTCAGAGAGAAGATTCCTGTTTGGCCCATAGTCCAGCACAGAGATTATACTCTGCTGGTAGTTCACGTGGTCCCAGGAATTACCATTGTGGACCCACGGTGGAAAATCAAAGGGAGCCCTAAGATCCATGTTTAGAATCGAATTCTAAAGTAACAGCATAGCACTTCCTTTGGGGACTCCAGGGTCATTCATCCATACCTTAATGCCCCTGTCCCACAGTTCTGCAACAAGCTTCAACCTTTCCTCCAAGAGCTTCTTTTGGGCTGCAGCCACAAGCACCTGGGTCTCTGTTGTCCGAACTTTTTCTTCAGAAGCCTAAGGAATGGGCAGATACGGGCCCAGGTTGTGTATGACAAGTTCACAGTTTGGCAAACTGGATCTCCTCTAGCTTATGGGCCAGAAGGAATGGCAGAAATTGGGAAGAACAGCCCAGGAGCCAATCTTTCACCCCACCCTACCCCACCCCAGTGAAATTACAGCCAATTCAGAATCACAGTCCATTCCCCCAACCAAAGAGGATAATACATGAATATTCACAAGATCACACTTTGAAAAGAACAAAGGAGAGACCTGACAACAGCAGAACAAGTATCTTATTTTTATGTAGTCCCTACAGATAGATTTGTTTAACAAAGTCACAGCTCTTTATTTTCCTCTTCACAGCTCCAGTACACAAACAGAACCTCAGAAAAGATTTTTCTATTTGGTCATACACCCACCTTCACACACAGTATCTAGTAAGGAGAATGGGGTTTCAAAATCTGAAATTATTCAGAAGTTCCAAGCAGACAGTTTGCAAATGAGGGCATCAGTCTTGGCCTCCCAGGAGCATAAGCACAACTCTGGGAGGCTCGACAGATATCCCCATTTGACAGAGGACAATACTGAAGTTCAGAGAGCTTACTGACTGTGGTCATACTACTGTTAAATATCTATCCAAGGATAGCATGGAACAAGGTTGTTCTGCTTCTAAATCAGCCCTCTGGCTCACTCTAAAGCCTCATTTCTGAGTCCCATTTATTGGAATAATAGAAAGCAGGCTAAGAACTCACTAAGGAAAACTGACTCAATGAGTAGTTGCCAGATAAGGTGGCCCAGAGATTTCAGGCAGGGTTTTCCCACCTTCCATGTTAGGTCCTGGTGTAGGTTTGTGCCTATATGTACATATATACATATCTTTTTAATCAGGGCTGGGATTTCATCAGTAAGGGAAGTTTCCTGTGGAGAAACTCCTGTTCAGTAAGCTGGTCTTGGAGAATTGCTTGGGGGCACTGAAAAATTCAGTGACTCTTCACCAAGACTGCCATCATAAGAAGGTCAGAGGGAATACACTTGAGTCCAGGTCTTTCTGCCTCCCAAACCAGCTTTCTAGCCACTACTCCAAGCTGCCTTCTCCACTTCTTCTCTCTAATCATAAAGCCCTATGTGTGTCATAATTACAAACTATGCACTTAATGGTATTACAAATTTGAATACATCTAATCTTATATCCCTCCCATCACTCACTCAACTAGAAGATAGGATTTGTCCCAGGGGTGGGGAACTTCAAGGCCCTAAATTCCCCACCCTGGATCTCCCTAATTTCTATTTATTCTATAGACTCAGTTCAAACAATAGTTTTGTTTATACAAGAGTACTAAATAAAAGTTTTGTAGGTAACTGCCTAGGAAGAGTAGCAAGGGAAGGCAAGGACCTACAACAATAAAGAGGGCCATAAATACAAGTCTAAGTGGTTGGAGATAAACCAGGTAGGAAGGGACCAAGTACCAACTAAACCAAACCCACTAAGGTGATATCCTTTTCTAGACTCTCCCCTCAGAAAAAACAAACAAAAAACCCCACCCCTTTCCCAACTACTGTACAGTTTTAGTTGTTTAGTGACAGACTAATCGGCACATGAGTTAAAAAGCTAATTAGCCATCTCTTTCTTCTGCTTTAAATGTAAAATGGAATTGACACAATATTCCTAACAGGGTCCTACCTCCATCCTCTGTTCCACAATGGAGAAGATCCTTTCAACCCCAATGCTGAGCCCCACACATGGCACCTTGCGGCCCTTGGGGTCAAACATGCCAACAAGCCCATCATAGCGCCCTCCAGCAGCCACGCTGCCCACACCAAGTGGTTCCTCCCCCTGTCTGGCTGGGGTCTGAAGAAGCACTGCTTCATAGATCACCCCTGTATAGTAGTCCAGGCCTCGAGCCAGGCTCAGGTCAAAGGAGATCTGTGGGGACATGGAGATATGGTCAGTCTCACAGGACAGACATGTCCTGGGATCCTCTGCAATCTGCTGGGGCCTGCCCTTCCCCTACTCACCTTCTCTGTAATACCAAACAGTGTCAGATACTCAAATAGCAGTTTCAGGTCCCCCAACCCCTCCAGGGCCTGCTTGTTCTGTGAGAGTTTGGGATCCTGCAGCAGCTGATCTACTAGGGACACTCCACCTGGGAAAAACAAAGAAAGGAAAGGGTGCCACCTATCAATCTTTCATTGATTACTTGGATTGCACTACAATCTAACACCACCTCACTACCCCAACTGTCTAATCTTTTCAACCAATATGAGTACATGAGGGTCAAAAATAGCAAGAAAATCTATTACAGCACAAAGTAAATGAGGAAATAAGGAGCCACTAAAGCAACGTGCACTGGAGAAGTTCACTTATAGTGGGAAAACCAGCAACACCCCTTCCCCCAATCCCCCAAGAATGTCATCATAGACTACCTCCTCCCCTCTTAAATTCTTACCATGCTGTTTTACATATGCCCCAATATGATCTGCCACCTCAGGGGCCAGGCCTTTCTCTTCCACCATTTCATTCTTCACATCTTCCCATGACATCTGCATAGACATTGGATCAAGGGGCCCAGAATGGATTCACAACAACGGAATGGGCTTTATTCTTCAGGATGAAGGATTTTTAGGGCAGAGGTCTCTGCCTTTCAACTCAGAGTAAAGGCCCTCTCCCTCCCTGACACTGTTTCCCACTTCTTGAGACAGGGTAACTTTCAAGGGAAAGAGGTTGGAGCTGTACAAGTAAGTTAGTTGTCACCTTGTCTAGCTTGTCCACTGAAGAGCAAATGGTACGGAACTTGCTGTCAGGAACACCACAGATGTTGAACATTCCATCCAGAATTCGCCTGTCATTCACCTGAGGATTCCAAAGTCACTTCAAGAAGTGGAAGCCCCTACCCACAACTTTTTCCCTTCAAGATCCATGATAGCTATTGTATTCCTAAGGCATATTTTTGGCTCTCCAGATTGGGCAGGAGAGTTCAGCCACAGGAGGGGAAGGCCAGGACTGCTACTCACTCCTGATTGTTAGCGCCATAATTAGTACCACCAGGGCAGACACAGCTTTTCCTCTCACCTTGATCTGGAAGTCCCCCAGCTGAAGTGCACTGAGGATCTCACAGATTATCTTCAGACATTCTGCATCAGGGATCATGGGATCAAACTGCCCAGCAATGTCAAAATCCTGCACAAAAAGTGACAGGAAGAAACCTCGAGTCAAGAGGACCAATTTCCAGGCCCCAATGCTAGTCTCCTGACCCACACAGGCAATATCCTCTCTCGAATATGCAAGACTACAGATCTTATTGATCCCGTTCACTGCACTTCACTGAGCTGATTAATTCTAATGCCCATACAGCTGGTTTTCACATCTTCATTTTTAACTCCTTATCATTTGTTCTCATCCTGATGTATCTAGACACAGGTACTGTGTCTATACATGCTCCTCAGGAAAGTGAAAACTTATTAAAATCTAACTGATCTCAGTGAGGACTCAATGCTCTGAGCTTTTGTGGCTCCAGAACACTCACACACTGGTAGAACTCCCGGTAACGGCCACGAGTCATTGCAGGGTTATCTCGCCGGTACACCTTTGCAATGTGGTATCGTTTAATGTTGGTCAGTTTATTCATTGCCAGGTATCGAGCAAAAGGAACCTGACAATGGGTTAAGGAGAAAGTTCCTCTTGTTCAGAGCCAATTACCACCACCAGTAGAAGCTACCTGAAAACAAAGTGGCCATACTCTCCCTAGGTACCTTGTTCAGTTGGATTACCCCGGTAAGGGTTATCAGAACCTTGGAATACTCAAAAGGATGATCCCCAACACTGAAGAAATACCAATGTGGAAGAAATCCTGCATTATGCTTAGTGTCTGGAACAACCAGAATAGAACGGATTCATCATGGATGCATAAGCATGCTTTCTGTATCATTAAAAGGAAAAGAACATCATTCTTTACTGAAGATTTATCCAATGGCTTGAACAGTCTTCAAGACAGGCAAAAGAATGGTATTCCAGAATCAGGAGATTTACAATGGATTCAGATTTGCGCTCTGGTACTACATTAAGTTCCTGTAGGTTCCGAGGGGTGGGCCCTGCTAATTAGAATTTGCAACTCTATTTTAGAGAGGGGCTTCGTCTAACTCACTCTAAACTGATTCTTTGGATCATTTATTCAAGGACTTCTTCCAATCTGTGTCTAATATTCTCTGAATCGGAGGATTCCATCACTTCCAGTCAACTAAAGTCCAATTTAAATGACAGCATCCTAGAGCTCACTTTGAAAGGATACAGTGAGGTCATAACGAAGGGCCAACAGCTCACCACCCTGATCCTTCAGGTCATAGATGAGCTTAGAGTCCTCCCCATACTTTCCAGTCAGTGTTTCCTAGAAGGAAAAGATGAAAATAGAGAATTGCTTTAATGACTTTGCCTGACCCCAGATTAAGATGCCTAGTATAGGATAACCCTATAAGAAGTACAAACAATCAACTGTCCTGTAGGGTATTCTGTTAGAGGACTTCAAGACTAGTTATGGCTGCAGCTATCCCCCAGTAAAAACAGCTGTCTAAAACAGGAACCAGAGCCACAGAAAGCAATGTAGGGAAAATTATGTTGGTTCCTATTTTTAAATGGAAATCAAGTTCCTGTACATCAGGAATAGAACTGGGATTGTCTGTACCCATCTTAATAGCTGATCCCTCATTACTATATCCCCTTGTTATCTAACTTACTGTGTATCTGCCCTGTCCTCCCCATCTCCTTGCCAAACACTTCTCCCTTGGCCTTGGCCCTCACCTTCAATTCAAACACAGGGGTATCTATTACTTCTGCACCATGGCGCTTGAAGCAGCTGATGATCACATCAAAAACCTTCTCCCGAACAGCCATCTGCTTAGGGCTATAATCCCTTGTGCCCTTGTAGTCAAAATCAGTCACCCAATCAAAGAAGAAAAAAAGCAAACAAACAAGCAACTCAGTAATAAGAAATGAGGAGAAGGTAGTATTTCAGAAATATTTTATTTATAATCTCAATTATAATGGAATAGAATTGCATTTAACTCCCTTCTAACTACCAAGCCAAATCTGCATGGACTGAAGGGGGTTTAGGCAGGGTAGCTATCATCTAAATAAAAGAAGGCTTTTAACCCTTAGAGTTGTGCTTGGAGAGGGATATTTGGTTGGTTGGTTGAATTTATGTTTTCTTAAAATATAAATTTAAGCAAGTTGATTTAACTATACAATCCTTAGAGATAATCCACATCCTATTTCTATAACCACTAGAATTCCTACTAATAAATTGGGAAGTACGTAAAAAAAACAAAACAAAACAGATTTCAACAGAGTTGCTGCCAACCTACACTAGATTCTTAAGAATCTGCAGTAGTGGCAGTTCTCCTGCAGGTTGAGATGACTAACAGCCTCCCTATCTTGACAAATTCGTAACACCCTGGTGCAACCCAATTCCAGTCAAATGCCTAAAAGTGCTGTCTGTTTTGTGAAATAGGCTAAACACTTCCTCCCTCCTGCCTCCCATGAGAAAGCCATATTTTCAAGTTTCTACTAACACTATGACTAGACCTATCCTTTTGAACTTATTTCATTTCCCTTTGGGGCTTTTGTTACTAAATTCTTTGAAGGTAAGGTTTAAATATCACCAACTTTGTATCCTCAGCATCTATTAATGTCTCGAACTTGTTAAAGTGAACTGACCACATATATATGTGGGTCAGATGTTGGCCTTCTCTAGCTGGGGGCTGGGAGGGAGAAAGAAAGAATTTGGAACTCAAAATATAACCAAGAAAAAAATACAATAAATATATAAAAATAAACAGAACTCACAATGCAAAAAGGCTCATCAGAGACCCTCTGAAAGGCTTCTCTAAAAACACATTTACCTTTGGAGTTTTAAGCACAAACTTCTGTTTTCCTTCATCAGGGCCCAGTTCTGCCTTCAGCTTCAGGAGCTTGGAAACCTCCTCCTCTATCTGAGAAGAAAGGGCCTCAATAAACACGGGAATTTGGAAGGATCTGGTCCCTGCCCAGGGCCCTCATCAATCCCTACTTTGCAGAGGCATGTGGGTACCATGGTTCCAGAGCTCTGACTCATTGCTAATTGTGTTACCATGGGCCAGTCACTTTCCCTTTTTACCTCTGTTTCCTCATCTGTAAGATGGGAATAATAACAGTGCCGATCTCACTGGCACTCTCAAAGAGAGAGAACGAATATAAAGCACCTTAAAGAGTCGGAACAACGTCACCAGGAGGGTCGCCTTCAGGACCTGAGTCTTGTCCCTTGCAAGGCTCTCGCCTGGCCCCTTTCCGGCTTCCGTACCAGACCCCTGAGCCAGAGCTCCGTCTACCCCGGGACCCGATCCGGCCTTCCCGGCCCACCCGGCCGGGACGACGCCCTCACCAGGTCGGCGCCCGCCTTCTGCTGCTTGAGACCCCGAACTCTCTCGCCCTGGAGCCTCACGGCCTCCTCCAGCGCCGCTCGATCCGCCATCGTCGAAACGGCCGCCGCTGTCACGGACTACTTCCGGCCACCGAGCTCAAGCGGAGGACTGCGCGCCCAGAGGGGGCTTCCGGCCGGCGCGCGCCCAAACCGGAAGAGCGGAAGCGTGGAGGCAAGAGCCACCGGGTCCTGACCCAACGAGACACTCGCCTCTGGCAGTCTGCCTCTTGGCGAATTTGATACGTGGGGGCATCACTTCACTTTTCCTTGGCACTCTTTGCCCCAGTTTCCCTTTCTCACTCCCAGGACCCAGCCCAGGCGCTCTCTCTGCCTCAATCCTCCCTCCCTCCCTCTTCTCCCGGTGTACAGCCTTCTGCGGGGCTGCACGAACCCCAGAACCGCGGGAAGAGAAGCCCCCACCCCTCGCCATGCAGCGCCTCGGACCCTGGTCTCGGGAGGCCTGGGCTGCGCTGGCTCTCCAGTTGCTGCGACCTCCCCGCGCCCCCTGCGCCGGAGCAACGCTGCTTTTCCGCCGGGTGCAAGGAGGCCTGGTGCAGCCTCCAGCGCGGGAGGTATGTTCTGCCTTCTCACGTTTCTCAGCGTTTTTCCAGGGCTCCTTGGATCACTTTATCGGTCAGTCTCCCCAGTTGAGATTGTAAGGGCAGAACCTTATGGTCTTTTCAGTACCCAGCCCTTGGTAGGCTTTTAACGTCTGTGAAGGTGAACTGAGTTTTCTAACTGTTCTCGGACTGATTCCACCACTGTGTGACTGAGTTAAACTCGTTCAAATCAAGGAATCCGACTTTTGAATTTGTATCCTACGATATGAATAGGTTTTTAAATAAATGCTTGATTTATTTAAAAGGTCTTAGTTTCCTCATCGGTAAAACGAAGGTTTAAATTAAATGGGCCCCTTCTAGTTCCAACATTTTCATGATTTTGGGTTTTGACCTCTAAGTGGCTGGTTGGTTTAGTTCCTCAGAACTGCCTTTGTATTTTGAGCCAGTGGACCGGAGTGCTTCGCCCTCTAGTGTTTGTGCCTGGAGTCCCATAGTCTATGATTTTAATTTATTCACCTACTTAAAATTATACGTTTTGTTCAGACACATCATACAGAGAACCTCGGGACTGTCAATTGAATCATCCTCACCTAAATGAAGACTTCAAGCAAAGCTAGATGGCTACTTGTTTTTTATATTATAGAGTGGATTCCTGTTTAGGTTCAGGTTAAGATAATTTGCTTCTGAGGCCCTTTCTAGCACTGAATGAATGAATGAAAAAATATTTAAGTTTGGACTAAGCTCAAAGCATTGTGCTAAGCACTGACAATACGAATAGAAAAGTTATGCAGTCCCTCTTCTCAAAAAGCTCACATTCTGGTAGAGGAAACCAGGCATACAGAAGATTTTTTTAATTGCAAATCAGACAGAAAGGTTCCATGGTCCTTATGGTGTAGGGCCAAAGCAGGTAATAATGTCTTCTTTAGAGGTTTTGTAGTCCTACAATTTAGAAACCTTAACCTCTCTAAATTTCTATTTCCTAATTTTAAAAATAAGGATAATACTTGCACACTGCTTACCTTACAGGTGTGAGGAAAACACATTGGAAAAATTAAAATATTACATAAAAATGAGTTATTGCTGTAATCATTGTTAGAGATGAATAAATTGCTGCCCTAAGAAATTAAATGATTTGATCAGTCACCCAGTTGTTAAGTAACAATACAAGGACTATTTTGAGGTACAACTCTGTTTTCTCAGGTTTCTGAGAAGTCTTTATTGTATAGCCTGCTATAATAAACTAGTATTTTTCCATTTTTTCACACATCCTGCCAAAAAAAATGATAGGATCCCTTCCCTTGGAGAACTTACAATCTAGTATTGTGATGCAGTGAAAAGTGTGTTGGGATTGGATTTAGAGGACCTGAGTTTAAACCTTAAAATATCACTAATTCCCTGTGTGACCTTGGGTAAGCTACACAAACTTTCTAGGGCTTGGTTTCCTTATCTGTATTTAAAATGAGGGGATTGAATTAGATGGTCTTTAAGGTGCCTTCTAGCTTCAAATCTTTCATCCTTTTCATTGGGGGAGAACGGAAGGGAATAAGCATTTATATAACACCTATTGTGTGCTGGGCACTGTGCTAAGCACTTTTTTTACTGATATTTCATTTGATCCCCACAGCATCCCTGAGACTTAGGTGCTGTTATTATTCCTATTTTATGTTTTAGGAGACTGAGGCAAATAGGTTGTGATTTTCCTAGGATGACACGTAGCTAGTAAGTGCCTGAGGCCAATTTTGAACTCAAGTCTTCCAGACTTTAAGCCCAATGTTCTAGCCACAGGGCCACTCGCTGCCTCAATAGAGGAGTTAATAATTTAATGCTAACAAATAAAAATCTAATAAATTATTCTTGTTGTATCTTTATTTTTTTATCTTTATTCTGAAACATCTTTCTGTCAGAACCCATCTAGGTCCAAAGGGCCATAGCTTACCCCTTTTGTAGGGAGTCACCCTTCTGGTCTGTCATAATTATTTTTATTTTTTGAAACTAGAGGTAAAGACCCTTTTTAGTTCCTGGTGTTGCCATAGGTTCATTTTTTTTTTTTTAAGTTCTTGTTTGTTTCTGGGTCTTAGTTTCCTTGGATGTAAGTTAGCAAAAAGTCTTGAGTAGGATTGACTGGCAGAGTTTGACTTAGCAAAAAGTACAGCTGGTGTTTGACCCTTCTAGGAATGGAGGGTACCAGAATGAGAGTAAATCATACTGTAGGGTGGGAAGGATATCCCAATACAATGAGAGCCCCTGGGAAAAAGATCTGACTTCATTCGAAATCCTTTATGGACACAATTCCAGCACAAGTGAAGAGTCTGTAGAACTTTTCTCCTTGTAACTGGAAGACTGGAAATTCAAGGGGTCAGAGATGTAAGCCATTGTTTCCTTCCAGTTTGCAGAGGCCAGGTTGAAGACTCAGCTGGAATCAGATAAAGAGAAATCCAGTTTTGTTATCAAGACTCCCAAGGTAATCCTCTTCTCTCTTCCATTTTGGTCTCCTTTTCCAATATCCTGGGTGCTTGGAAAGATAAATCTGCTCCTGAGTTGGGACCTTGCAGTGAATTAGAGTTTGTATCATATAATGGATAGAATTGTACTTGAAGTCAGAAAGAACTGGGTTCAAATTTTACATCAGACATTTACTAACTATATGACTCTTGTCAGGATACTTCACTTCTCAGTTTCTTCATTTGTAAAATGAGGATAATAATAGTACCTCCCTCATAGGGTTGTTGTGAGAATAGAGTGTGTAAAGTACATTACAAACCTTAAAGTGCTTTACAAGTACAAACTATTGTGGTAACGTCTGTCCATCATCCCCTGTAGCTTCTACAGTTTGCCTTTAAACTCTTCCCCTACTTCCCTTTATTCTGGTTGCTTTTGGCTCATAGGGTACCAGAGATCTTGGCCCTCAACAGATGATTATTCGAGAGAAAATCCTTACTGCTGTCATCAGCTGCTTCAAGCGCCATGGAGCTAAAGGGCTAGACACTCCAGCATTTGAACTAAAGGTGACAGAAAGGACAAGGGGGGAAGGGAGGAGTAGTATTGAAATTCTTCCTTTCTTAGCCTCCAGTATCCCAAACCATATTTTTTAAGCTGTAGACTTGTGCTTGTCCAGGAAGTGCTAATGGAGAAGTATGGAGAAGACTCCAGACTCATCTATGAACTGAAGGATCAGGGTGGGGAGCTACTGGCTCTTCGATATGACCTCACAGTATCCTTCTAAGAACAGTTTTACTTTATCCCGGACTGTCCTTGCCCAAATCAAGGGAGGGAATTGTGGATGTCATGGTCATATCTGGAGCTCTGATTCCTGTGTTATGTTAGGTGGCCCGAAGAGGCATTCCCATAGTAAAGTAAGGGCTGAAGGTGGTGCTGAAGATCAGGCTTTCAAACTTAAATAATCTGGGAGAAGGGTTGAGGTGAATAGGAAGATCCCAGGGGTCTTAGGCCACTTAGATCCTTGATTCCCCTTCCCTGAATTTTCAGTTTGACAGGATGATGGAATCTACTGCTAGAGGTGTGAATTTCCCTAGTATCTGATTTGTATAGATGCAGTTGGTTGCCAGCTCTGGAGGAAGAGTGCTTCTTCCTTAATAATTTCTTGTGAGGTCCCTTTTGCTCGTTACCTGGCCACGAATAAGATAAAGAAGATGAAATGCTATCACATTGGGAAGGTGTGGCGACGGGAAAGTCCCTCCATAACCCAAGGTCGATACCGGGAGTTCTGCCAATGTGTGAGTGATTGGGTTAATGAGCAGTGGGGAGGGAGTTTTCTGAGTAACACCCCTAGAAACACATTTAATTAGAGGGTTTTCAAATTTTCACTGTTTCCTTTTGCTACAGGATTTTGACATTGCAGGTCATTTTGATCCCATGATCCCTGATGCAGAGTGTTTAAAGATCATATATGAAATCCTAAATGCGTTGCAGTTGGGGGACTTCTTAATTAAGGTGAATGTGAAAACGAGAAAGGGGGGTGTGCATGACCGGAGATTATATCCTTCGGGTTCTCATCTTACCTCCATGGTAGTCCCAACCTTACTCCTTGGCTTTAGCAGCTGTTTCTATATAGTCTGATTGCAAAGCTTCCCTTTTCCTCCTTTTACTAGAGGGAATCACTGGGAAAGGAGAATGGATCTCTCTTTTGGGAAAAGGTGTTGATGGAGTATCTGGTGCATATGGAATTCACAGGTGAATGACAGGCGAATTCTGGATGGGATGTTTGCTGTCTGTGGTGTCCCTGATAACAAATTCCAACTTATCTCTGCTTCAGTGGATAAGCTGGGCAAGGTAAGAAAGGAAGATCTTTTAATTTTCTCTCATCTAAGTTTTTGTAGCTTAACTCTTTCTGGGCCATTTGTTTCAGAAACTTAAAGGACAGTGTATAAAGTAAGCTCTTGTAAAGAGGTACAGAGAAAGTCTAAACCATGATCTGATTTCAATCCTTCAGTGGGGACTTGAAGTTTACCTCTTTGCCTAATAACAGTTTTTATTAATATTGAAATGTAAGGTTTACAAAGTACTTTCCTCATAACAGTCCTATGAAGAAGCCATTAAAATTATAATTATCCTTACTTTACAGGTTAGGGAATAAGCAGTTTAAGTGACTTGCCTTGAGTCACATAGCTAGTAATGGTTGAAGACAAAATTCCAACTTAGTTCTTTCCTGAACCCCAGGTTTTTACTCTGTCTATTACTTTATCCTAACTCTTGTCTATTATAGATTTTAAGCACTTGGTAGGCATTCAAATGCTTACTGATTGAATTATAATGCCTCTTGTTATGAAAGAAAGTAGGTTCTTGGATATAAACTAATATTTCTCTATCTACAGATGTCCTGGAAGGATGTGAGACAAGAGATGGTAGGAAAGATCGGTCTGGCCCCTGAAGTGGCCGATTGCATTGGGGTTTACATCCAGCAGCATGGTAAGAAGCAGGTTCCCCAAGACTTGAATGTACATATAATAGGGGCTAGAATCTGTATCTGTTGTACATCTAACACTGAGCTGAGTCCACTTTTCTAGAGAGACAGATAGGTCCCTTGGGATAAAGGTGGTCTCGAACTTGTTTCAGCCTTTTCCTATCTTTTTTGCTTCTTTAGAAGGAAGAAAGCAGAAGCAAGGGAATAACAGTGGTAATGGGACTTCTCTCAAGCACCATGGTGTGGATTTTTTTGGAAAGATAGTGAGGTAGAGTAAAAAGGACACTGAACTTGAAGTCAAGAAAGATCTCAATTAGAATCTTGCCTTTGATACACACTGGCTTGGTGACTTAACCTCCATGAGTCTCTACTCATTTATGCAATGGAAATAATAATCTTTATACTACTTATCTCACAGGGTTGATGTGAAGATTAAATAAAATATGTAAAGTAGTTTGAATGCCAGCTATTTTTATTGTTTTTAATCCATCTTATTTTTTTGGTTGCATAGACTTGTTTGGATGAATTCCAAAGATCTTGTTTCCCCTGGCTATCTGACTTTTATGTTTGACTTTCCCAGGTGGAGTGTCCCTAGTAGAGCAGCTGCTGCAGGATCCCAAACTCTCACAGAACAAGCAGGCCCTGGAGGGGTTGGGGGACCTGAAACTGCTATTTGAGTATCTGACACTGTTTGGTATTACAGAGAAGGTGAGTAGGGGAAGGGCAGGCCCCAGCAGATTGCAGAGGATCCCAGGACATGTCTGTCCTGTGAGACTGACCATATCTCCATGTCCCCACAGATCTCCTTTGACCTGAGCCTGGCTCGAGGCCTGGACTACTATACAGGGGTGATCTATGAAGCAGTGCTTCTTCAGACCCCAGCCAGACAGGGGGAGGAACCACTTGGTGTGGGCAGCGTGGCTGCTGGAGGGCGCTATGATGGGCTTGTTGGCATGTTTGACCCCAAGGGCCGCAAGGTGCCATGTGTGGGGCTCAGCATTGGGGTTGAAAGGATCTTCTCCATTGTGGAACAGAGGATGGAGGTAGGACCTTGTTAGGAGTAAGTGGAGAAGTCCCTTCCACACTTTCTAAGACTGTCTGGACCCTCTTTCTGAAAGTGAGGGGCTCCTGATCCTGATTTGTTGAAGAGGAATTTTAGCCAGTGTTTTTTGCCTGTCTTTCTTCTCTAGGCCACTGAGAAAATTCAGGTGACAGAGACACAGGTCCTTGTGGCTGCAGCACAAAAGAATTTCCTTAAGGAACGGATGAAACTGATTGCAGAGCTCTGGGATGCTGGGATCAAGGTAAGATAGAACAGGTACCAGTGTCCTGTGGTCTGGGGCAATACTCCCCTGAATCTGTCTGGTCACAATTAGAGTAGCTTTTTCTAGGGGAGGAGGGCCAGGTGTTGGAATGAGTCTTTTTTTCTAGGGGTGGGAGAGTAGGGGGAAGAGGGTGGTGAGGCAGTGGGTGTACTGTACTATGCCAAATCCCAGGGGTTATCTGTTGCTTCAAGGCTGAGATGCTTTATAAGAAGAACCCCAGTTTCCTGACTCAGCTGCATTACTGTGAGGAGACAGGCATTCCACTGGTGGCCATTATTGGGGAGCAAGAACTAAAAGATGGTGTCATTAAGCTTCGTTCTGTGGCCAGCAGGGAGGAGGTAAGACAGTGATGGCAGAGGTAGGGCAGATCAAACTGTCCAAGAGAACTATGCTATTAAAAAAATTCTTGGGAATAGTGAATTGTAGGGCAGCTGAGATTCTAGAGAAGACAAGTAGCCACCACAATAGCCTGGAACAAGGGGCTCAGAAATTAGATAGGCCAGAGACAGATGACATACATCTCCATGGCTAGATTTTGGAAGTTAAACAGAATAGTCAGACTACATAGTCTTGCCTTCCGTGACTTTATTTAATGTGGATAGATGTATCTTACACAAAAACACTGGTGACATGCACATGCAAACACCTTTGTGATAATTGCATATGTAGATGCTGACAGACTATAGGGTGAAAGAGCTGGCAAGCAGCTAGAGCTGCTGAAGAATTTATTTTTCTGTAACTCACATCACAACTTTCATGTTTCAGGTGGACATTAAACGGGAATATATCGTAACTGAAATCCAGAGGAGAATGTCTGAATCCTGATCTTGCCAGTTTTTCATCTGCTACTTGTTCCAGTGGTGAAGATCTAGTCCACTATTATGGCCCTATCCAGTTTCACATTTGGGTCAGGGTAGACTACACATCCCTTCTGCCTCCTTCCTGCAACTCCCTCCTCTGTGCTCCTTGTTTGGAGGTGGGGGAGTATCAATGGCACATGGGCTTCTGAATCCTCTTGATTTAAATCAGTGGGTGTTCGAGAGGAAGCGGGAGCATCCACTTTTAACAGGTGGGGGATAGTGCCTTCTATAATAAGAATGTCACAGAGACACTACAGAGACAGTGGTACGTTTGTACTATCACTGACTGCAAATAAGACTTTAAGTTGAACTGTGTTCTTTGAGCAGTCTTTGAGGGAGTTAAATTCTGAAGGAATCTTGAAGTGTGAGGAAGTTCTTTCTGAGGTCAGAACTTAGATGCTCAGTAGAGGTCTAAACCAACCAGGAAAAAAGCTTGACTGTCCTAGAGATATGCTTCCAGCCTGTTATTTCTTGCTTTGAGTGTTGTAAGGAGACAGGGAGGAGGGAGGAGTGGATGTCTGATTGAGTCCAAACTCAAATGAGATAAAAAAGGCATGATGTAACTCCTTTCCTAGCTTTTCTCCCTTGTGCTAGGGATAAACTCATGTTTAGCTTCCTCGTGGTTTTGGATGTTGAATTGAGCAGGTCACTTTAGCTCTCCAGGCTTCAGTTCCTTATCTGTAAAATGAAGAGGTTGGACCAGATGACCTCTAGTTGTGCCCACATGTATGAAACATGTCCCCATGAACCATAACAACAAAAAGGAACACTTGATAAGTAAGGGTGAGATTGGTGCTTTCTCCCCCTCCACTGATCCTAGGTATAAAACTATCCTATCGTTGCGATCTTTTTCCTGGGCCAGACCAGCTGCTGTTACTATCCTGTGACTTCCCACATGAGTAGCTATTTGGAGATGATTTTATAATATATTGAATGTAACTAATTTAGACACTTTGTAATTAGAAGCATTTTATTTACATTAAGTACAGGGAATGATTTGGGTATAAAAATCTGGGCTATCTTTGGTCTGGGAATATAACTTTACTTTTACATATTACGACATTTCTGTGGAGATTTCTGTTCCCAGGATCCTCAGTCCTTACTATAATTATTCTGTCCTTGGGAAGGTGCCAAGTTCCGAGTGGCATCTAGTGTTTTGGCCCTTTATTATGTAGCCAGTGGCAGGCATTTAAGTAGACTCGTCTCCTTTGTCACTGCAACACAGGAGGAAAACACCCATGTACTTAATATTCCCAATGTTTGCAACCGAAGTGTTCCCAGCCTATTCCTTATGTCTCCTTTTCTCCATTGTTAGGAATGTATAACTAAAACTACTCCTACAAAGGTCATTATGCTCAGAAGACAAGCTTGGGCTTTTCTGGGTTTCAGGACTGATTTTGCAAGCCTAAGATCCAAGAACTGTGTCCTCCTACTCCAGGCCCGCCTTTGGAAAGGCCGCTGAAGACCGTGGGAGGTGGGGGTGGGGCAGTGGAGGGTGGGGGGAGGTGCCGGGTTCTTCCCTCGCTGTGGCTTCAGCTTCTGAGCAAGGCCGGGTCGGCCTCGGACCCTCACTGAGTTGGCCGCTTTGTGGGACCCTCTTCCCAGGGGAACTTAGGACTGGTGTCGAATGTCAGTCTCCCATCTCCCCGCCCCCGGGGGCGTGTACCTTCCTGGGCATTCTGATTTTGTTTGGTGCCGTGTGAGCCAACCACAACCTCTCTGGGCTTGTTTCCACGTCTGTAAAACGAGGGTTGGGCTTAATCTTTGATTTGTAAAAGACATAACAGGAAATAAAAGGTACTTCCTATCGCTTCGTGTGGCGCGTGCGCAATTTATAAAGGGTGTGCGTTAGTGAGACGGAAGTGCTTATCTCTGAAGTCCTCCAGTGACGCTCTAGCCTGGTAGTACGATAGAGGCTTCGGAGGACTGCTCTGCTTTACGGCTCCAGGCAGTCTTTACATTATTTTCCGTCTTCATCTTCACTTCGCCGCGAAGATGGCGTCTGGCAGCGGGGTAGGTGTGTTGTGGGGGCCGGAGGAGTTTCGGGGGTTTCGTTTGGGTCCGAGTGTTCTTTCTCACAGAGTTTCCGCTCCAGCCTGGCCCTGGAGACGGCAGTCCCAAGTTTGCAGCCGCTTTCTTGGGCGCAGTGCCGCGCCGAGGGGTTCCGGAGCCGCGGAGGCTCGCTGCCGCGCATTGCCGCCGTGCACGGGCACCTCGCCGAGCCTGCGGTGGTCACTTACTGTGTGTGGAGTGTGTGCCAGGCACTGGGGCAGATAGAAACTTGACATAACGTTGTGTGGCCCCGTGGAGTTTAGTGTCTAGTCTGAGGGTAAGACGCCAATCCAGTTAGTTACAATACACAGTATTAAGTGACTCTTTATGCTTTCTGAGGATGTAGATGGTGATGGAAGATCCCTTGAAGGAGATGGCATTTGAGGCTGGCTTTATCGAATGTATTTAACAGGCTAATTTGGACAAGGGAAGGGAGGACTGATATTCCAGACTTTGGAAACCCACGCTCTGAGCTAAGACAGTGTTATATTTTCTGTGTGCTTGGGTACTGGAAAACTACTAAGTGGTAGGATTCTCTGGGAAGGGTAGCAGAAAATCCAGAAATGCTTTCTTTTGACAGACTAAAAACCTGGATTTCCGCCGAAAGTGGGACAAAGACGAATATGAGAAACTTGCAGAGAAACGACTTAATGAAGAAAGAGAGAAAAAAGATGGTGAGTAAAACTCCCTTGAATTTCCACTTTCTCTGGGCATGCAGAGGATTAGATGGCAGAAATAGTTTAGTGAATTAAGAAATTTTGGTTCTGGTTTCTGCCCTTTTACCAGCAGATTCTTTGGCATTTGTGCAGTTTACTGCACCTCTCTAGGCCTCAGTTTTTAATCAATGCTTCCTTGCCTTTTGCCTTGCCTCCTTTCTTTAGTTGCTGCCCTAACGCTGGATAATTTCAGAGCTCAGAAATACAGGTTTTAGACAGTGTGAATTACCACTGTGAATGCTACTCTTCATCTTCATACACAGAAAAAATCTTTGGATTGACATAAGAAGGGTTATATCCTAACCCATAAACTTCAGTTAGCTTATGAAAAGCAGGACTCTATATAGTAAAGATTGTGAGTATAGGTCTTGTGAGTTGCACTGTTGCCAAATCTGATCATAATCTTTGATGTACTGGTTCCTTGAGTGATTTAAGAGTTGGGGGATTTGTTTCTTTGTTGCTGCTCCCACTTGGTTTGCTCAACAGTCAGTTCTCCCTTTCTACACTTTGGCAGGGTACTGAAGGATACCTTCATTCCAGCTTTTTATTTTCTGACAACTTAGCTTCATTATTTTTCTTCTTCATTCCTGTTGATAAAATAGCTGTCAGATAGCAATTTTGTCAATTCTGTCTCTTGACATCTCACATCTGTCTCCATCTTTCTATTCACAGCTGCTACTCTACATCAAGCCCTCATCACTGCTTTCCCAAACTATTGCAGATACCTCCTAATTGGTCTCTTTGCCTCAAATCTTTTTCCCCCTTGTCCAACTGATTTTCCATACCATTGCCAATATATTCCAAAAGCACTGGTGTGACAAGTCACTCCCCTGCTCAGTATACCCTAGTCACTCTCTGTTACATCTTAGATCAAACATAAGCTCCTCCCTTTGGCATTTAATATCGACCTACTTTTCCAAGCTTATTGTATGATATACACTTTAGAGTCCAACCAAATTGACCTTGTTCTTTTTTAAACATGATATTCTGTCTCCTAGCTCTGTGACTTTGCACAAGCTTTCTAATCGGAATGCATCCCTGCTTACCTCCACCTCTTAGAATCCCTAGTTTCCTTAAGAGGTTGGCTCAAGCTTTATCTCCTTCATGAGGTCTTGCCTTGAATCCTGCAGCTGCTAGTGTTTCTCACTCAAAATGACCTTGTCCTGTGTTTATTTTGTATGTAAATGTGTGTATGTGTGTATGTGTGGTATATTTTCAGCGCCAATAAAATTAAGTTCCTTGAAGGCAGAACCTTTCATTTTTTTCCTTTTTATTCCCAATACCACATGATACTATAATGTGGTAGATACTTAATAAATGCTTGTGATCAGTTGATTGCTTGATCTTACTCTTATTAAATTACTTGAGTCAGTGATTTGTTCCTTCAAAGTATTACTGAAATCTCTCCTGTGACTTTAGTTCCCAGGCAGACCATCTAATTCAATTTAATATGTTATTTACAATCTGCTGCTTTTGGAACCTCTGCCAAAGTTGGGGAGGAGGTGGCTGTTATTTTTTCTTTAACTCATTCTTACATCTTCAGTCATGTCCTAGGCAGTTAATGTCATAGGGAGCTGGTCAATTAGTCAACATCTTTGAGGAGTCTATTGTGTGTAGAGCAGGGCTTCTTAACCTCTTTTGTGTCATGGACCCTTTGGCTTGATGAAGCTCAATATTGTGGTTTTTGTTTTTTAAATCATATATAACTGAAGGAAATGCTAAATTTCACCTTGAGGTTAGTGGGAAAAAATACGTATTTTTTCCCTATCTAAGTTCACCTCCCCCCTCAAGTTTGTGCATAGACCTTTCAGGATTCTGTGGGATCCCAGGTTAAGACAGCCAGTATTATGTATTATTGCAGTGCCTGAATCTGGAGAAAAGGAAAATGAAATTAAATTGTTGACTGTACCAAGATTCTAGCTTTTAATTAACTTCATTCCTATCAGAAAAATACTTGGCTTTGAAAGGAACTATAGTTTCTAGCATTTCCTTCTCCAGCAAGGTCTTACTGACCACATTCACTTTTCTTTCAGGAAAACCAGTGCAGCCTGTCAAGCGGGAGCTCTTACGACACAGAGACTACAAGGTTGACTTGGAGTCTAAGCTGGGAAAGACCATTGTTATTACCAAGACCACCCCACAGTCTGAAATGGGAGGGTGAGTAGCCTCTTATTTTACTGCAAAGAGCAGGACTTATGAGTGGTCAGTAGTAACAGCCAGTAGGGTAACATCAGTTAGTTTTGGGGAGAGTTTCCTATAATAAACTTTAACTTATTGATAGACTGTTGTGGATTGGTTGACAGTCACCGAAGTTGAAGCCCGTTGGAATAAGTTTTTTTTAAATGAAAGAACTGGAAATGTGCAATTAATAAGAGAAGTAGCTGGGAAATATCTCTGGGGGTTGGAGTGGTGGGACCCTACGGGGTATGATTGATACTAACTCCTTAGAGCTTAGGGATTCAGGCCTCCTGGCAGCCTGGAAATGGAGCTTTGTCACATTGATAAGGACCCATGTTTAGAGTTTTTCTCCTTAGTCCATGCCTGCAGTGTAAAGCAGGAGATAGGGACTGACTCACAGTTCTTAAAGATTTAACTGGCAGACCACAGGCCTGTCACCATACTTCTCTTGGGCTTGCTGAGACTTTTGTCAGAACTGGCCACAGATGGCTGCTATACCCTCCTGTCTATTTCACTTGGGAGCTTATCTCTTAGTACCTCTTCCTGGTGATCTTGGGATGTCTTAGGAAATAAAAGATTGGGAAGTATTGACCTGAAGTTTTCAGTAAGGTAAGGGACATGATGTGTTTTCAGGCTGCTCAGATAATAGGTACTTCCATGTCTGTGTAGGTATTACTGCAATGTCTGTGACTGTGTAGTGAAAGACTCCATCAACTTCTTGGATCACATCAATGGAAAGAAACGTAAGGAATGAGGACATTTTGGAATGGGTTTTGGGGATCCCCACAGCTCTTGCTGGAGGCTCAGAGTAGAGGCTTTTCTCACCTTTGCACAGGGAGTTCCTTTCTCTTCATCAGTAGATGTTTATGGAGCTCATGAGATACATCATACTCTTTTATTCTACAATCCAATTAGCATATCTTCCCAGCTGTCCATTTTTATTGCCCAAATATAGACAGTTCCATCTTGTTCTTTGAGGTTGCTAGATGCAGGGACAGAAGTCCCTAGAGCTGCCCTCAGCAGAATTGGCTTTTGTTTCCTGAAACTACATAGGTTATGGAGAGACATCTTGGAAAGGGTTTATTCTTTCTTTTCTTTCTATATATATATATTTTTTTTTTTTGGTGAGGCAGTCAGGGTTAAGTGACTTGCCCAAGGTCACACAGCTAGTACGTGTCAAGTGTTTGGTCTGAGGCCAGATTTGAACTCAGGTCCTGACTTCAGGGCCAGTGCTCTATCTACTGTGCCACCTAGCTGCCCCTTGGAAAGAGTTTATTGAGGCAGCATGGTAATATGGCAAGAGTACTTGATTTGGAGACAGGAGACTTGGGTTTAAATCCTAGCCCTGCCACTTAACTAGCTGAATGACATTGGGCAAGTAACTTCATTTTTCTGGACCTCGTTTTCCTCATTTGTAAAATGAGAGTGTGGCTAGATGTTCTCTAATGTCTCTTCCAGGTCTAAATCTATGCTTTTAAGGTCCTAATTTGGGGGATGGGGGTAGGGGTAGGGGAGAGAAGGAATATGAGGGAGAGTAGGGAGGTAAGAAGCTAGAAGGAAGGATAACGGTTCTATATTTCTCTCCTTCAGATCAGCGGAATCTGGGTATGTCAATGCGTGTGGAGCGTTCCACCTTGGATCAGGTGAAGAAACGCTTTGAAGTGAACAAGAAGAAGATGGAAGAAAAACAAAAGGACTATGACTTTGAGGAGAGGATGAAAGAACTCAGAGAGGAGGTAAGGTTCAAGCCAGCATTTTCAGACTGAGGCTTTCATAAAATGTAGCTTTTGGGACCACTGGAAAGTATTCTCCTCTCAACGTGATATGAAATGGATATCTGCTATAGAACACACCCTTTCCCTATCTCCAGATTGCCTTTCTATGGTTTCCAAATCCCAGAAATGAGTGATGAAATAAATAGGTGCAGACTACAACATGTAAACCCCAATTCCAATATTGTCTTCCTGACTTGCTTACTTCCCAGACTATTCCAGGGGTGGGGAACCTGTGGCCTCAAGGCCACATGTGTTCCTCTAAGTCCTCAAGTGCAGCCTTTTGACTGAATCCAAACTTCAGGTCCAAACCCAAATCCTTTGGGATTTGTTCTATGAAGTTTGGATTCAATCAAAAGGCTGCACTTGAGGATGTAGAAGGCCACATGTGGCCTCCAGGCCACAGGTTCCCCACCCCTGCACTAGTACTTTAGCAGTGAACCCTTTGATTTAGAAGAATTTATTTCTGCCCCCTGATTTCCAGTGGTTCTGGCCCAGTGGCCTCTTTTGATGTTGTTGATCCCCTACTGTGGATCAGGAAAGCTAGAATGATCCTCTGTGGCTCTTTGCAGGAAGAGAAGGCCAAAGCGTACAAGAAGGAGAAACAGAAGGAGAAGAAGCGAAGGGCAGAGGAGGACTTGACATTTGAGGAGGATGATGAGATGGCAGCTGTTATGGGCTTCTCTGGCTTTGGCTCCACCAAAAAGAGCTACTGATTCTCTCGGAACTTGTCTTATTCCCAAGCCTGACTGTGGGATCGCTAATATCCAAGGCATTTGGGGAAATTCTTCAAAGACCTGACATGTGGAGGGAAGAAAGGAATTTGTTTCTCTCCCTTACAGCCAGAGTGTGGCCAGGATCTGGAGAAGTTGGGTTCCAGCCCTCTAATTTTCATATTTGATGGAGCTGCAGTTCATCTGTCCTAACTTCCTAATAAAAAAGAAACCTCCCACTCGTCAGCTGCTTCCCCGAAGCTCTTCCTGCATCCATCCTTCTCTCTTTCCTTCTCCCTCCCACAATGATTATCATAACGTTACCCAAATTTCTGCTTTTGTTCTCTTCAAGCCCTTGCCTTCTCTACCCTACCTCACCTTACACCTCCAGTGTTCTGGTTGTTTACTCCTAATGTTCTGTGGCCGTGTGTGAACATATAGTGTTCTGCCAGGTACTTGTATGTATGTGTGTGTGCATGAAGAATTCCTGTAGAGGGCTGGAGCCCAAGCCATAAGGCCACAACTGCTCTCATTCCTGACGTCTTAGGCTGCAGGTGCCTCCTGTGGCTTGTTTTAGAGCATGCAATGGGGAATTAAATGGATGAGTGTTTGGTGTGGTTCGTTTCTGGTGAGTTATTTGGCCTTTTTTGTTTAGTCCTGGGCTGTTTTAACTTTTAAATTTGTATCTTTTAAATGAAAATTACTCTGTTTTTGTCTTCCTTGTATTTAGACTCCAGTATGAGTCTTAACTGATGCAAAAAGCCCCAGTGTGGGATTTTGTGTGTGCCCAGGGACGAACTAACATATAGAATTAAAAGGAAAAAAATATGTTGGCTGGAACTATTTCTCATATTGGTACTAGATACACCATCTTTCTTTTGTGCTCTTTGCTCTTTTTCACACTGATGCTTTTTGCACAGAGCCCAACCTTAAATTTTCCCTTCCTTTGATTCCTATTAGCCTTTCTGTATGAGTCTCTACAGCCTTTCTTTTTCCCCTCACAAATTCAACTCTCTGCCTTCTCTCTAAGTCAACACTGGTTTGACTTCTTTGTGACTCTAATGAAATCACTGTGCACCTGGCTTTTAGCATAACAGAGCTCAATACTGGCTGTAGAGTCTAACTATTACCAGCTCTAGCAGGCAGAACTATAAGCAATTCTGATCCCCAGGTAAGCAGCATGAAAGGGTGCTGATAAACATTTTAAAACATCCTTTTTGGGGGGGAGGTGGACATAGAAGGACCTTGGACTCTGGGACATCAAGGGGCTAGTTCCCTTTGGGGGGGGGGTTTGAGTGGAAAGAAGGTTATCTGGTGAGTCAGTGGAAGGGGGGAGATAGATAAATTCTCCAGAATTTTTCACCAGCACTCTCCCTTTTCCCTCCCCTCCCACATTGCATAAGCATAGAGAATGGGATCTGGTTGTGTAAATATTCCAGGCCTTATACCTATTTCATAAGTCAGGCTGGCACCCTTAGGCAGAATACCAATGGAGTTTGTTAATTGGTTTGCTTTGTTGCCATAGTGAGGGGAAGAAGATTTTGAGGACTAGTGTTTGTTCTTGCCTAGCTTTTCTGAATCCGACTTACAGTGTCAGTGCCAGTAACAAAACTTTCCAATGTGCCTAATCACTGCCTGAAGCCCTGTGTGAGTTATATCTGCAGTAATAAATTTGTGCCAAGATTTAAAATAGGGTACACTTGCACTAACAGGCAACCAAATAAAGAGTCTATATGGCATCCCTTTAGATCAAAGCCAGCTTCACGTTCTCCTGGTTCTTTTTCTATATATACTTTTTTTTTTTTTTGTGAGGCAGTCCGGGGTAAGTGACTTGCCCAAGGTCACACAGCTAGTACGTGTCAAGTGTTTGGTCTGAGGCTGCATTTGAACTCAGGTCCTCCGGACTTCAGGGCTAGTGCTCTTATCCACTGTGCCACCTAGCTGCCCCTCTGGTTCTTTTTCAAGATATTCTCAGGGCTTTTCAGTTCATGTCCTATCTTGCCCCTTTTCATAGATCTTTAGCCTCCAGAAGGTAAAAAAGTTTCCATAGGACTTCAGCTTTATAGGGTTGTTGTTACCAGATTTTTCCGTTGCTTTTGGCAGGGGCCAAGCAGTACAGGAACTCTAGGCTCATTTTTTAGTTTCCTTGGCCAGAACCCAGTTGTGTCTCCATGATTGAAGATAAACTGCAGATTTCAAAAGTGCAATTTTGCCAAATAGGAAGAGACATATCTTAATTCTGTGTGTGTGTCTGAGGGGGTGGGGTGGTCAAGATAGAGGGACCAGATATGGGCAGAACTCTCATTTAACTCTCCCTCAAGTAAGGATGTTAGTGCTACATCAGTTTCTTGCTAAGATCTCTCCCTGGTGACATTCCTAGAGCTTTAAATTATCTGGGCTTAGTGGTTACCCTTTTCCCCTCAGGGATGCTTTAGTGATTACACTTTTATCAGGAACGCCAACTTCACTGGGTGATAGCCAGTATGACTAAATTTTATCTTTAAACTCTTGGTGATTTTACTCTTGCTTAAGTGCAATGATCTTTACCAGATCTGGATTCCAAACTGTCCTAGAGGACCTAAAAATTGTGACTTAAAAGGTAAGAAGGCAGGGTCTCTGGGTCATGGGAGGCTGAGGTTAGGCTGTAGAATTCACTTGGGTTGCTGCTGCTGGCTGGGAGAGAGACTGCAGGAAATTTGGAAAACATGAATTTTTGTGCTGTAGATTGTACAGTTGGTTGTTATTAGAACCTTAGATGCAGCAGAGGCTGGATGAAAAGGCCATTTAAGCCATGATAATTACTTCCTTGCCCTAGGATATCCACCAATATATAGGAAGAGACTACCATCGCTCATTTACAACAGTATTAGAGGAAACACCTGCCTCTCCCAGCACAGAGAAGAGATGGAGATGGAGAAACTACACAGTTAGGATTCTGTAATGAAGCATCCATTTAGTTTGAGATATTGTGATATCTTAGGATACAAGATATTCATGTTAAAATGAAACTACCAAGAACTATAAAGCCCAATAATGTTAATGTTTAGATGACTGGAAAGAAGCCCAGTTTATTGTCATGCTGAAGATAGGATGGAAGAGGGGAAAGAGGATATAGGAGAATTAAAAAGTATGTGCCTTTATAATACTAGAAGTATTTTCGGACATAGGTTTTGCAGGAATATAATATCATAGAATCATAGATTTAGAGTTGGAAGAGACCTTAAGCCTAGTCCAACCTCTTTATTTTACATATAAGGAAACAGATGTATAAAAGGTAAGTGACTTGGCCAAGGTCATTCAGGTAGTAAGTGGCAGAAGTGGTTTTGAATCCAAATCTTTTAACTCCAGATCCATTGCTTTTTGCATACCTTGCTGCCTCACCCCAAAAAAGACTGCCAACAAATTTTTGTTAAGGGCTTACTTATGTAGAAAGCTTAGTTCTGAAGATACAAAGATGTAAAAGGACACAGACTTATTGTTAGGTCACTCTAGGCCCACTAAAAAGTAAAACTAAACAGAACCAAAGAGCTTTTACTCAAGTTGTGGCTTCCTCTTTCCATGCCATGAATAGATACCCACTCTCCTCCATCTCAGATCCCTGTTACAAATGATCTTTCCCCACTGTCAAATCTTTTCTTGAATGTCTCTGTGGCACTTTCCCTCACCACCCTTGTTTCCTAGCTGTGTTTATGCCTTCATTTTATCTCTGTTCAATTGCATGGTGAAAGCATGATCTGTAGCCAATTTAGGGAAGGTATTAGTTGGTAGAAGGCAAAGTAAATGTATATAAAATGCAGGAGTTTGGACTAAGTAGGCTCCCAGATCTGTTTCTGCTGTAAATGTGTAATAATCTGAGTCCTAAGAATATTCAGGCCTGTGGATGAGTGGTAAAGAAAGAACATATCCATGCCGATTGCCAAATGATTCAAGGCAGGTGGATACTTTGAATCATTTGTCCCAAGAACTCATTAGACTGGAAAAGGTAGTTCATATCCAGTCTGCCTTTAGCTCAGTGATTTCTTGGATTTCAAATTTCAGTTATGAGTAAACAATTTACCCCTTAAGCATCCAGATCCCAAGACACTTATCAGGCTTTTTAATTTTTATTGTGAACTGAACAAATATCAGCAAATATTTCAATACAAAAGAAGCACAAAATGGCTCTTAAAAAAACTGAACTGTTAGGTACAGTTTTTTATTTTATTTTATTTTTAAAATTTTTTAGTTGGTTTTTAAGAAGTACATATATATATATACTTCACACATGTACATGTATATACGTGTACATATATGTATAACAAAATTATAATCAGACTACTCAGTTTCTGTATCCAGTTTTCTATGTTAAAAATATTTTATAGTTTTTTGCATCTTTATCACTACTCACTAAACCCCCATCCTACCTTGAAACATATATACATACAAAATATATGTATGCATATGTATATATTTGTGTGTATATGTATATACACATGTGTACATATTCATATGTTGATTTGCACCACATTGTCCGTGTTTGAGATTATGTATCTCATTCTGTATCTGTAGTTCATCACCTCTTTGTCAAGAGGTGGGAGATATGTTTCATCATAAATCTTTGAAGTCATAGTTTTGTCCTTCTGGTTTTGCTTTTTTTTTTTTTTGCTTCAATTAACATCTGCCTTTCCATATTTCTCTGAATCCACCTAATTCTTCTGGTCACTTCATTGTTTTTTTTTTCCTGGGTTTCTACTGGTAATTATTGTAGAGCTATTTTCTTCTGAGGCTTACCTTGTGATTCTCTTACTCCATAGTGTTCATTGTATTAGGAGTTTTCTTCTGTTTACTCATATCTTCAGCCCAATTTTATTGACTGGAACTCAAAATACAGGCCCTGCACCTTCATGAACTCTTTGATAAATGGTTTGGCACAGGTTCTGTCTCCTGCCACAATACCAGATTCTGCCCTATCAGTTAGGTCTTTTACTGAATTACTGAAATCCAGATGTCACAGTCCTGCCTTTCTTTGTGATAAGGCAGGTAGCTGAATCTTGGCACTATTTATTTTATTGACCTAGTTGGGAAATTGTTGCAGGTCAAGCCTTTCTTTCTGCAGCCCTGGTTCTGAAGAGTCAGGTCCCTGGAACCTAGACCAAGCCCTAATTACTGCCAGTATTTCCCATGGTTCCAAGACTGGCCTTGGTTTGTCTTTTGTAATATACCTCAAGATAAAAGAGACCTCAACTTTCAATCATGCAGGCTTCAGGGCATCCTTCTAAGTCACCTAATTTTGAAACATTAGCATCATCCTTGATTCCTCAGTTTGCTACTCCATATATTCAAATCAGTTTCCAGATCTTAACATTTCTATTACTGTAGCATCTATCCAGAGTCTCCTTATCTCTACTTATAGTCTTCACTTTAGTTCAGGCTCTCCTCACCTTTCCCCTAGACTATTGCAATAGCCTTCTAATTTGGCCTTCCTGCTTGAAGTCCTGCCTTCACCCCAGAAACAACTTTGTTTTGCAAAGCAGAGCATGGTATTTCTCTTGCCTGGGAGACATCTTTTAAATCTGAGAGGCACTGACTTTTTGAACTGATCTCTTTTATCTTCTCATCCAAGAGAGTCAAACAATGTATGCAGGTAGAGGAAGATTATAGAGCTGGAGGGACCTCAGAGAATATTAAGTATAATTCTTTCATTTTACAGCCAAGAAGTGGAAAAGGGGCCATCAATCTCAATCAAAGAGTAACTTCCTTTCTTAGCGGATTAAGTGCCAGGCCTTAAAGTCAGCAAGACTCATCACCCTGAGTTCAAATCTGGCCTTAGACAATACCAGCTGTGTGATCCTGGGCAAATCATTTAACCATGTTTGCCTCAGTTCCTTATCTGTCAAATGAGGTGGAGAAAGAAATGGCAAATCACTCTGATGGGGTATGGGCTCAAGCCGAGACCTTTGCCCTCACCCCCCAAAAAATTTGGGTCTCATCTATCTATGGGCCCCAGAAAATCCTTAAACTTTTCTTGAACTCACTTGGTCAAAGAAGTCTCAAGCAGTTGCCTGAGGCTATAATCCGCTCAACTGGCCTTTCCTTATCTGACTAGACCCAATCACTCAATTCTTTGTTATCCTAATTAAGCCTAGTCATCCATTGTCTATTCCCTGCTGACTTCATTCAACCTCCCAGACACTCCCATTGGGATTCTCCCAGGATCCCTCTCCCCAGTCACTCCAGCTTCAAGATCTTCCCTAAACTCCTCCTCCAGTACTGTCCACTCCCATCAAGATGCTCCTCCCAGCACCACCCCGCCCCAGTCACCCCGAAACTACTTAACCACTCCCAGATTCCTTCCGTAGTCTTTCTGTATATAAGATCCATCCTGGCTGCCATTTAGGGACTGAGACTTCCTCATGCCCGCTTGTCTTGATGGGTGTCACACATGGTCAGATTCCTTAAGAGTCTGTCTGAAGTGGCTGATCTTTAATAAACCTTGTCTTTAGCTGAAAGAAGACTTGGGTCGAATTCTTTTGGGCAGGACCCATGTGTCATGATTTTGGGGTCTCAACCCCTAGCATCTAAACCTCAACAACTCCAGTATCTTTACCAAGAAAACCCCATGTGGGGTCACAAAGAATTGGACATGACTGAACACTTTCTGAACACTTTTTAAACTGAGCCAAAAAGGCCAGTAAATACCCAACGGTGGCAGATCATTCCAGTATTTGAACAACCAGCGAGAAGCCCTTAAATTGAGAGGAACTATCTAAAAGTC